CGCAGGTACACAACTTTAGGGTAACAGGTAGCCCCAAACAAAGCCAGACAAGCCAGGGCGAGCTAGAACTGGGATGCCCAGGAGGCCTAGATTTATTCTGTGTTCTCAGAGTCCCTTCTGGGTCCGCGTCCGCATCTCACATAGACTGACACTCTCCGCTCCGCCCAGCAGGCGGCGCAGCGGCTCCAGGAGCACCGGGGTAGTGCGAACGTGTTGCGGGGTCTGACTTTCAGCACTGAGCAAGACTTGTTGTTTTGCCAGGCGTATTTCCTCTGCTACCCAATTCCAGGAAAATATATGCCCCAACATAAGTGCCCTGCCTACTGCGGGACTCCGGGAGGGCAGAGACTTTATCTTAGCCTCATCCTTGCGTTCTATGTGCCAAGGGGTAGCCAAAACAGATGAGCTACCTTGAAAAGCGCAAATATGTGGATAGGATCAAGGCCTGAAGTGACAATGTTGGACAAGGTCCCAAACCAGAGGCTCTGCGTCCTGTCGGTGCCGAGATTTCCGCCACCCTTTCCACCTAGCTCGCTCCTTCCTGCCTTAGACTCGGGCAGTCGGGAGGTGGACGTGTCCCTGCCAGGCTGGGCCCAGGGAGATTGAACCTGCCGGGAGGGAGCTGAGCAGCGCGGGACCCCACTCGTATTCACCTAGTGGCAGCCAACGGAGGCGATCCGACCCAACGCCGTCTCCCCCAGGGACAATCTTGGGCTATTTCCTCTAAAGATGTGCTCCTGCCTTACCCCTCTGCGCGTTTCTCAGCAGGCACATGTTTACACCTTTATAGTGAGTGACTTCACTCAACAAACACTGACCGGCTACTGTTCGTGCTGGCGCCGGCAACACGACATAGAACAACACCAAACCCTATGAAGCAAAGGAACTGGGAGAAGATACTCGCAGCACGAGGGACGCCTGGGGAACCTTCACCCAGGACCTTCACCTCCAGATGAGCAAAAAGCGCGTGAGGCGCTTCTCTGGGGCTGCTGATAAACTTCGGACCCGGCGGGAGGGGCGGGCCGCACCCTGGATATGCGTGGGGCTCCGGCACGTCCCGCAGGGCAGGTGTGCTCCAGGGTGGCATGTGCTTGTGCAAAGCCGGACCCTGACCCAGGAGCCGGGTTACAGGGCGCGGCACCTAGCTGGAGCTCAGTAAATATTTATGGTGAGAGCGACAAGTAGGGCCCACCTCCCGGAGGAGGAGGAGGAGGAGGAAGGCCAGAGCCCTCCTCAACTCCAGGCTCCTCCCCAGCAGGGTAAGCACCGGACTGGCCGCGGCGTCCTGGCCCGGCGTAATTACAGGCTCTGCCGCCAGGCCTGGCCGTAAACAGCCAGGATGAAACGGCCTGCAAGCCCAGGAAGCTGGGCCGGAGCCGGCAAAGAGCCCCGGGTCCGCAGCTTGCCCTGATGCGCAGCCGCAAAGGAAAAAAAAAAAAAAAAAAAAAAAAAGGAGGGGGGACCTAAACCCCCGCCCCATCAAATCCTGCAGGCACACAGCCACACACGCAAAGTACCAAACACTCAGCTTTCAACTTTCCAGCTCCAGGAACGCACTCGAGCCTAATCAAACACCTGCCCGCCAGCTCCAAGCCAGGCGCAGACGCCGCCGGCCCCTCTCCAGACAGCTGCTGATTCGAGAGGTGAATTCCTGCGAGGTTGTTTACATGGAGCGGGGGAGGGGACCTGAGCCTGGTACTGAGGTCCTACCGACTGGAAGACCCAAGACTGAGCCTACCACAGCGGCCCAAACTACCCCTACTGCATGCAGCCCACCCCCGCTGCACGCCCAAAACACGTTTCTCCTCTTCTTCACACACTGGTCACAAACATTAGCATGCGTATGTCAGGCGTTTCGCACGCTTCCGCACACACTCACAAGTGTCTTGACACCTACCTGCCACATTTACACGCGCATTTTACACACGCCATATGTACATGTGTGGGTTAGTTTGTCACCCTTCGTGACCATATTCCCACAGCCCATCTGCAAGAGCCCATTCGCTCGAGACACGCGTGAGACAAATAAACAGGTCATTAGTGTACTTGGACTCTATTAAAAAATTAAGAGCAGACCCCCTCGTGAGCCCAAGGGTCCTATCTGTTCCTCTCGCACAAAGTACTGATGGGACTGAGGCGCCCTTAGCCCTGGCCGCACACGTTACACACTTGATCACACACAGCGTCGCACTTTATTCCCGGCATCTAAGCGATGACACAATCTCTTGAACAAAGACAACATTGACAAACCCAACAAAAACAAACAGCCGCGTCTGTGTGGGGAGGGGCAGCCAAGCGCAGAGTCTGGGCATGGAGGGGTTGGGGCGGATAGCGAGCGAGCGTGAGAAGGCGAACGCGCAGGCCTGAGTGTGAATCTCGGGAAAAGGTGTGGGTATATCCCCCACCTCGCACCCTGGCAAGATTGGCGCCCCGCGCTGCAGAGCCAGGTCCTGAAGCCGCTGGTTCCCAGACCCACACGTGTGAGTGCCTCCCTTTTCCAGCTTGCGTCTGCGCCCAGTCCCACAAAGCCTACAGAGCCTCACACAGACGTGTCCCCCCCCTCCTCACCACCACCCCCCCGTAAGCGAACACGCAGCTATGGAGAGATCTGTGCAGACCCCGGAGCGCGCTCCGTCCCTGGGGCACGGGAGCCCCCCCCCGCTCCCCGCGCGTTTTCCCTTCCTCCACCTCCCCAGCCACCCAAGCCCTGGGGCAGCGCGCGCCGGGCGGGGCGGGGGCGGGGCGGGTGTCGGGCGGCGCCGGCCCAAAAGGCGGAGTCGAGCAGTGAAGAGGCCAGATTTGTGATCGCGGTGCCTACTGTACCGTGGAGGAGCCAGTGGGAACCCTTACACTGCAGAGCTCTCGTCCCGGCCCGGCCCGGCCCGGCCCCACGCTATGGAGTTCCTTTGGGCCCCTCTCTTGGGGCTGTGCTGCAGTCTGGCCGCTGCTGACCGTCACATCGTCTTCTGGAACAGTTCAAATCCCAAGTAAGCCCCGAGACTCCCTCTGGCAGCCTGGGCGCCTGGTTGGCAATGCCTTTCCTCGGGGTAACTGTCCCGGCCACCCCCTGGCCTGAGCCTAGGGGAGGTGGCCAGGGGTGGGAAGGATTCTGTAGCGTCCCACCTCCGTCTTTACCTTCCCTTAGTAACTGGCAACACCCGACCCTGGCAGAAACCTGCTCATGCCTACTTGGAGAGGCGCTATTTCAGCCCTATCTCTTCCTGCCCTCTGGCATCCCATTACTCCAAAGTAAGGATCTCATGACGAGCCTTCTTACCTTGAGAATGTAACATCGGCCCTGGCCTCCGGGGCTCTTTAAGTCCCCCCATGAAACTTCTGCGTCCTCTCTTTTTGTGTGTCGCGGGGAGCATTTGTGTGACGACAGGCACCTATTGACATCAAGAGTCAACACAAGGCTCAGAGTGGCCCTGGAAAGACTCTCAGTAGGGAGCTAGGTTTCGGGTATCAGGTATTCATTCTGTGTTTAAGATGACCCTGCAGAGTGGCCCCCAGGATTATTTTTTGGGGGGGGTGGCATAAATTAGGCACATGCTGTGTGTGCCTGGACAGACCGAGGGAGTGGCCAAGGTGGTCACACTGAGGAACTGGTGAGGGGAGTGTCCCTGGAAAGCCTTGGGAGGAGCAGAGGGGGTTTCACAGGGCTACAAAGGGCCGTGACAGGAAGGAGGCAATTTCTCCCGGGCAGGTTTTAGGACTAGGAAGCAAATGGTATTGGGAGGAAGACACCGCCAGACCCTTTGTTCTTGCCCTTGAGTTTTCTCAAGTTGTGAGAACAGTATCTGGGCAAAACCTAAGAGGGGGGAATGGTGGAACAGGGGGCGCAGGGCCTGGCCCCCGAGGGGTGGGGGCACAGAACACCACCAGAGCACTCTGACACCCAGTGTGCCTCCTTCCCCCTTCCCTGAGCTAGATGCCATGCCAGTCTCCTCTGGCATGGTGGCATTGCCAGCTGAGGGTCTGCTGTCCAGGGCATGTCGGAGGGCAACCTAGAACCGGCTGCCAACCCTAAGGGCAGCGTCTTCCCGGCCCCGGGCTGCTACGGCGGCCCAGGCAGCCCTGGCTCCTACCCCTTGCCTCCCTGACCCTGTCCTGTCCTAGCAGTGGGAAAGAGCAAAGTCCCTGTTATGCCCATGCCAGGTGTCGGCTGGAGGAGGAGGAGGGGACAGGAAGCCATGAGCAGGGAGGGGGGAACTCTGGCCTTTTCCGTTCCCAAGCTCCCAGGTTTCCTCTCTTTCAGGAAGGAGCCTCTTCCTTGCCCCCTCCCTGTCTTCTCCACCACTGTTGTAGCCCCCCTTCCAGACGGAGATTAGGTGTCACAGGCAGGCTACGTAGAGGGGGTAGTCCCCTTAGAAGTGTACCCCACTAAGAATAGCTTCAGGCCTGTCCCTCTGGACACACACACACACACACACACACACACACACACACACACACACACCCTGTCTTATTTACAGCTACAGGAAAGCCGGTCTAGAGTGGAGGTCATGGGCGGTCTAGCCAGGCCCAGCTTGGGAGAAGAGATGAGGTGGCAGTGAGCAGGGCGGGTGCAGGGTTGGCACAGGTGACTCAGGGTGGTGGGCATTGGCCCTGGGATCTCCAGGCTCCAGGCAGAAGCAGAGAAGGGTGTGAGCTGGGTTCCCATGGTCCTGGAGAGACAGCTACTCTGGCCATTCGGACTTCTCTGCTCCCTTTGCCCAGAGGCCAGCACTGGGGCAAAACCAGCACTGGGCTGTCCTGGGGTCCAGGGGGGGCTGCTTGCATTTGACAAGGTGAATTTTCACAGGCTCTCAAGAGTGCCTGGGCGGGTAGCAGAGGTGGATGAGGCATGAGTCAGTGCCCATCACGGGAATGGGGGAAAGACGCCAGGCCCAGAGCTGAAATACCTGTTCTGAAATGGCTTCTATGTTTATCTCTCCAGAGAGGAATTTTAAAAGCCTCCCTCTGCTTCTCTCTCTTTTCCCCGGGGTGGGGGAGGGGCCGGCCTGGTAAGCCCAGTTCTCGAGGCTGCAAGCTGCTGCAAGGCCAGGCCTCGAAAGGGTCATGATGACTGGGTAGTGGGTGGCCACCATGGAACCCCACCATCACCATGGGCACCACCCATGCCGAGGACTTGGATTTGAAGCAAATTGGCAGGCAGCTCTGCGGAGCCTCTCCCTGGCAGTGCTTGGGAGAATTCAGAGGCGCTGACTGGCTGTCGGCGGGAGGTGGGAAGCACTTTGCCACTGCTGAGCCCCTACCCAGGCTGGAGCCAGGTGTCTGGAGCTCAGGGGGAGGGGCTGGTGGGCAGTCAGGCTGGAGCCTGCCGGGCTTGGGGGGGACTGACTGGGGGAGGGGAGCTGGCTCCACCTGGGGAGAAGGGAAAAGGCAGAGACCGTCTCAGGTCTAAACTGCAACATTTCATGGGGGAAGGTGGAATTGTGACTCTTGGAGATAAAAAGACAGGGATGTTTGGGGGTGCTCTGAGGAAAGGGGACAAGGCGATCCGGGCGTACCTTTGAGTAACAAGAAAGGAAGATTTGAGTAAACTGGTAAAGAATGGTTTTACTCTCTGCGAGTCTGGGTTTGGACCAGGGATTGGGTCCTGAAGTGGAAATCTGAGAGAGACTTGGTGTGAAGGGCAGGACATGATGAGATAAGCGAAGAAGGGATGTGATGAGGGACGCAGCAGCGTGGTAGAGAGAAAGGGACCTTGGCTCCCACATCCAGAACGGCCCAGACTGTAGTTTCCTGGCATTTAAAGAAGACCTGGGGAAACAGAACAGTGAGTGAGCTGCAGAAATACTGAGGCCCTGTCTATCCTTGGGCAGATACCTGGGGCCTTCTAGAAGGCACTTTGGTACCTGAGAGGTGCTTGGTGGGTGTTATTTGGAGAATGAGTAGATGATGGTAGTGAGGGAATCGTTGAAGGTGGCAGAGAAAGATGATCAGTAAATACGGGAGTTAAGATATTGGAAAAAAATCTTTGGGGCCCCACTGTGGAATGTAAGGGGTGATGTGACCAGTTGGAAGACGCTTCACGCTCTGGTCTGACTTCTGCTTCCTCTGCTTTGCATGGGCCCAGGTTCCGGGAGGAGGACTACACTGTACATGTGCGGCTGAACGACTACCTGGACATTATCTGCCCACATTACGAAGACGACTCCGTGGCAGATGCCGCCATGGAGCGGTATACGCTGTACATGGTGGAGCGTGAGGAGTATGTGGCGTGCCAACCCCAGTCCAAGGACCAGGTCCGTTGGAAGTGCACCCAGCCCAGTGCCAAGCATGGCCCAGAGAAGCTGTCTGAGAAATTCCAGCGCTTCACGCCCTTCACCTTGGGCAAGGAGTTCAAGGAAGGGCACAGCTACTATTACATCTGTGAGTACCCTAGGGGCGGTCACAGAGCACTGTGGCCGGCAGCATGCGCTTGGCTGCTTACTTAGTGGAGAGCCAAGTAGCACAGAGTCCCTGCCCCCCCCCCTTCCACGTCTAAACTCAGTTTTCTCTAATTCATAGCGCAGATGTGGAACAAGCTCCAGGTGTGTCCTAGACACTCTGGCATATGGACACAACATAACTAAAACACCCTGGCCCCCTGTCCTCAAGGAAGCTGGGAAGGAACCCAGATAAATCATCAGGCCAATAGAAGAGTGTGATGTGACAGACATGAGCACAGGGCACTTGGGGAAATGACCTGTGTACCTGCCAAAGACGGAAAAACAGACTGAGGGTGGGGTGACAAGGACAGGTGGCACATTCCCAAAGGGAGCGTGACCGCTTCTGGGGCTCCCGGGATGAGAGGCGGACAAGAAATAGAGTGATGGGCTTGGATGGTGGCTGGGGCAGATTCTTGGAGGCCAGGCACTAGTAGGAGTTTAGACTTCCTCCTGAGGGTGGCAGAAACCCACTGATGAATCCTGAGCGTTACAAGGTCCGGGCTTTGTGAAGGCTAGATCCAGTGCTTATTCTCTGGGTGAGTCTAGACCAGCATGGTAGAAAATGGCCCAGGGAAAGGGAAATTACACTGTGAACACCTCATGCAACTTCAGGCTGGGAGTCATGAAAGACGGAATGTGGGGAAGGGACATGGTCCACGCTCCTGTCACTACCACTGCTAAAGTTGAGTGCCGTTCCAGAGAATGAGAGAGAGGACTGAAAACTGATCAGAAAGTAGGCAAAAACTGAAGATAAATATCAAGGCTAGGCTAGGCACAGAGGCTTACACCTATAATCCTGGCACTCCGGAGACTGAGATAGGAGGATTGGTGTGATTCAGGGGCAGCCTGGGCTACAGACAAAGTTTCAGGTCAGTGTGGGCTACAGTGAGACCATGCCTAAAAAAAATTGGGTAGGGACTGGGCAGTGGCGGCGGCACGTGCCTTTAATCCCAGCACTTGGGAGGCAGAGACAGGTGGATCTCTGTGAATTCGAGGCCAGCCTGGTCTACAGAGGGAGTTGCAGGACAGCCAGGGCTACACAGAAAAACTCTGTCTCAAAAAAATAAATAAATAAATAAAAATAAATAAATAAATAGATAAATAAATAAATAGCAGTTGCTGCATAAACCTGACAACCTAAATTCTGTCCAGAACCCACATCAAAAGTCAGATACAGTGGCCTGCATCTGTAATCCCAGCACTCCTGTAGGGCGATGGAAGGCAGGAACGAGAAATTAGCCTTGCTGGGCTGTGGTGGTCCAAGTCTTTAACTCCAGCACTTGAGAGGCAGAGACATGAGTATCTCTGAGTTTGAGACCAGCCTGGTCTATATATAGTCAATCTCAGGACTGCAGGGGCTTTGTAAAGAGACCCTGCCCCCCCAGTAAAGATACATAAAAAATAAAGAAAATCAGCCTCATCAAGCATGCAGTGCAGAGGCAAGATGGAAGGCCAGAACCGACTCCCAGGATTTGTGTCCTGTCTTTCACGCGTGTGCCACAATGTACACTAACGAGGAAGAAAGAACAATTTAAAAGTAAATACAATTTATCTATTGCTTGGATATGGCAGTGCTTTTATCCAGCACTCAGGAGGCAGAGGCAGGTACATTTTTGTGAATTTGAAGCTAGCCTGGTCTACATAACAAGTTCCAGGGCAGCCAATGCCACATAGTGAAATCTTGTTTTAAATAAATTAAAAAAAAAAAAAATTAAACAGGGCACTGAGGAAGCAGATTCAGATTTGAATCCATATCTTCTATCAAAAGGCTCTTTCTGGTGACTATAGAGATGGCTCAGAGGTTAAGAGCACTGGCTGCTCTTCCAGAGGTCCTGAGTTCAATTCCCAGCAACCACATGGTGGCTCACAACCATCTGTAATGAGATCTGGTGCCTTCTTCTGGCCTGTAGTCATACATGCTATATACATAATAAATAAATAAATATTAGAAAAAAAAAAAAAGGCTCTTTCCTTAACGTCCTTTGCATGTATTTTGCAGCCAAACCTATCTACCATGAAGAAAACCAGTGCTTGAAGTTGAAGGTGACTGTCAATGGAAAAATCAGTGAGTGTCAGGGCCCGTGGGTGCCTCCTTCCCCCACGCTGAGCTTGGTCCAGCGGGCTGGGAGGGGGCGGAAGTTGCCTCTGCGCCTCCCGTGGCAATACCTCATCTCCTGCCATTTTTACCTTTCAGCTCACAGCCCTCAGGCCCACGCCAATTCACAGGAGAAGAGGCTTCCAGCAGGTAGGGAGCTAGAGCCAGTTGGGCCAGGGTCACAGGAAGGGGCTGGCTCCGTCCTGTTTGGTGGAGGCCGGTGCCAGTAGCGGGGGGCCCTCACCTGTCGGTCTTTGCCTCCTCACCCCGCAGATGACCCCGAGGCTCGGGTCCTGCACAGCGTGGGAGTCAGCGCTGCCCCTCGCCCCTTCCCGCTGGTCTGGGCTGTGCTCCTGCTCGCTCTGCTGCTACTGCAGACCCAGTGAAGGTGTGTGCTTCACCGGGCTCAAGGATTGCCACTGGGCGGAGGGGCGGGGGCAAGCACCCCGAAGCCCCAGCCCCGGGAACCACTCCCACCCCATGCACAAGCTGCCGCCCTGAAGCCTCAGAAGGTTCAGTATTACGGGTTTCAACCCAAAGGAGTTCAACCCGCCTGACTGTGCCGTTCCTGCCTCCACCTCAGAGGGACGGAGGAAGACGTGGGGAAGGGTCCTTTCCCTGCGATTTCTACCTTTAAGCCAAAGAAACGGGCTGTGCAGGCCGGCCTGGCCCATTTCGAGGGCCCAGTGGGAGAGGAGCTGGAAGGGCCTGCGGTCATGTAGTTGGACGCTAAAGACGCCCTTCCCCGAGGAAGCCGTGATGTCCAGATGAACTGACTGAAGGAAATGCTTGAGACAGCTTCCTGCGTGAGAGCCAGGTACAGGAGAAGCAGCATGCTTGGGCTGACCCAGCATCTCTGCAGGATTTCCACCTGCCGAACTGCCGGAGAGGTTCGTAGCCAGGCACTGACTGCATCCTCCCCATCCTTCGGGCAGCATTCCCTGGAGCTGTGCCAACGCGAGGACGAGGCTGTTCAGAGTAGAGCTGTAAGGGCAGTGCCCGCGTGTACAGTCTGTGTAGTGTACCTAAAGGGCAGGGCCCACATGTACAGTGTCTGTAGATAAACGTGCTGTGTCTGCTCATTTCTACAACTGGAGTTTTTTTTTATACAGTGTTCTTGGATTCATAATAAAGTAATTTTTTTGGACGTGTTTCTTCCCCTCTATGTCGATGTATGATCACAGAGTCCCTCCTCGTGTGCTAGGCTCAGCGCCACATCAGAAGCACCCGGGGCAGGTGTGGTGCACACCTATAACCCCAGCTGCTGCTCTCCTGGCTGAGCTGGGAAGATGGTAAATTTGAGATCTGCATGGACAACTCAGACCTTGCCTCAAAAGCAGAAATGAGGGGCTGGGAATGTACCTCAAGAAGCAGAGTGCTAACCTAACATGTGTAAGCCTGGGGTCCAATCCTCAGCAGGGCAAAGCTTAAGTACCCAGGCATGGCTTGGGTCAGGTCTGTAATCCCAGTACTCAGACAGTGGAGCAAGAAGATCGCCAAGATTTCAGTGCCAGCCTGGGCTACAGTGTGAGACCTCATCTCACAAAATAAATAAGCAAAAGACAAAACATAGTAAACGGCTAGGATGGGGGGGGGGGAAGATGTAAGACACAACTTGGTTTTATTTATTTATTTATTGTTGTTTTCGAGACAGAGTTTCTCTGTGTAGCTTTGGAGCCTGTCCTGGATCTCACTCTGTAGACCAAGCTGGCCTCGAATGTCTCCCGAGTGCTGGGATTAAAGGTGTGCACCACCACCACCGCCCTGCTTGGTTTTAATTTCTTTCTCTTTCTAAAAGATACATGCTTCTTACCCGGCCAAAGGAAGGGTGTTTCCTCCTCTGGGGGGGGTCTGCAGGAGAATTCCCTATAGTAGTGAGCTGGCTTCCTCTCCGTGCGCGCCATTCTGTGCGTTCGTTCTTCCTGTCCAACCTCTCATCCCACTCATCAGCCTCAAGCGCGGGGCTTTGGCATACCACACAGGTACTCATGCTGTCTGGGTGAGTCAGGGAGCTGGATGCCAGCTGAAGCTTGTGCGCAGCCCCACCAGCAGAGCTGCGTGGGAGGCTGGGAGGGAAAGTTCCCAGCAGCCAGTGTGTTGGAACAGGGGGCCAGGGGTAGGGGTTGCCCATGGATAGGGCAGGTTGTGCAAGGGCGGGCATCTGAAGGAAGACGGCCACTCCTGTCAATTCCTGCTATTTAGGGGACAGGCTAACGAGGTTTCAATAACCTCCAGGGGAAACCTTCCAAAGCTGAGGAACCAAGGCTCTGATATGGAGCGGCGAATAGGAGGAGCGCTGAAGACGGGGGGAGACTAAATTTGCAGTTTGCCTTCTTGCATACAAGGACAGAAGGAAACACAGAAGTTGAGGCCGGTGGTCTAGAGGACCCAGAGTGAGCAGAGTGTGAGGAGGGGCCCTGTCGGGGACAAATGCACGGTCCCTCCTAAAACCATGGAGCGCACTCCGAAGGGGAAGCTCAGGGACCCAGCCCCGCACACAGCAGCCAACCACCCGGCCGGCACGCAGCGCTGGGGTGGCAGGGGCCCCAGTTCCGGTGCAGTTCTGGCGAGGGCGGGTTCCGGCGCCGTTCCGCGGGAGGGGCGGGGCTTCGCGGCCGCCGGCCCTGGGCCCGAACAGCTTAGCGCGCAGAACTGGGCGAGGGAACCGACTCGGTGGGATGGAGGCGGGCGGCGTGGCAGACTCTGTCCTTTCCGGTGCCTGCGTGCTCTTCACCCTGGGCATGTTCTCCACTGGCCTGTGAGAGCGCGGAGGGACTGGGCTGGGGACAGGACTAGGAAGTCAGGAGAGTGGAAGGAAAGGAAAGTGGTCAAGAGACGTGGCTCCAATTCCGGGCTGCAGCTGGAACCCAGAATGAAAGTGGAGCAGAGTTGGGTGATCTGGGGTGCTAAGGCGAGGCTGGCCCCCCGGCCTGAGTCGGGGAGATCCGCTGGTCCGTTCAGGGTGGGTGACAAGCACCGAGGAATCGTCGTCTACCCATTCCTAACAATTCCCTTCGGGTCCCCTTCCAGCTCGGACCTCAGGCACATGCAGAGGACACGGAGCGTGGACAGCATCCAGTTCCTGCCTTTTCTCACCACGGATGTCAAGTGAGAGCATCGTTGGCTGTGGCGGGAAAGGCTGAGGGAGGCGCACGAGGTCCCTGGGGACCCCCTGCCACACTCAGCCCCTCGGACCATAATCCCCTCCTCTCACAGCAACCTGGGCTGGCTGAGTTATGGAGTCTTGAAGGGAGATGGGACCCTCATCATCGTCAATGCCGTGGGGGCTGTGCTTCAGACTCTTTATATCCTGGCATATCTGCACTACAGTCCTCAGAAGGTAGAGGCCCTCCCTCGCACCCACCTCTTCAGCACGCCCTGCCCTGTTAGCAGAGCAGACCGTTTCCTGGAAGACTAGTAGGGTGGCATTACTTCCTTTTCCTAGAAGGCCCTTCTTGTCCTCCTTCCCATGAAGCCAACCCTACAGAAAGCACACAGGGCCACCCACCCTCCCCTTGCTCACAAGCCTGGTGGTGGCTTCCCAGGCCCGAGGGTATCAGTGCTAACCCATCCTCTCCACAGGCTGGGGAGAGAGGGCTATGCTGTCTCTGATGGTTCCTTTAGAGTTAGAGCCAGGGCCAGTGGCTAAGAACGGCCATTAGCTCAGCTTTCCCACTCAATCACAAAAACATCCATTAGTCTCTTCCCGGGTAGGTGAGGCTCACAGGAAAAGGGGAGGGAGGAAAAGGTAATTTTCCCTTCCCTGGAGACCTCCAGTGTTGTGTGAATGAGACCTCCTTCAAGCCATTGGTGAAAGAGAGAGAGACAGCCGTGAAGGCTGGGATAAAAGCTGATTTCCCCATTAGAGCGTGGACGAAGACAGGATGCAGCAATCCCCGCAGAGAAATGAGTGTTCTGGTACAGTAAGACGCTTCTCCCCTGCAGCATGCTGTGCTCCTGCAGACCGCAGCCCTGCTAGGGGTCCTGCTCCTGGGTTATGGCTACTTTTGGCTTCTGGTGCCAGACCTTGAGGCCCGGCTCCAGCAGCTAGGCCTCTTCTGCAGCGTCTTTACCATCAGCATGTACCTCTCACCACTGGCTGACCTGGTGAGTGGGGTAGCCAAGAGGTAGGGGAGATCAGGGCGAGGCTCCCTTAGCCAGAGACTGGCTGATACTCCAGAGGAAAATAGATCCATCCAGCTCCTGGAAGGAGGCCAGACAGTCGAGGTGGGTGAGTGGGATGCAGGAGAGGGCTGGGGTGAAAGATTGGAGGGATTTGGGTCTTTTTCCCGAGGATATTCTTAGGCAAGGTGCAGGAATGGTACTATGCACCTGAACCGGGAGTGTTTTTGCCACAGGCCAAGATCATTCAGACTAAATCAACCCAGCGTCTCTCTTTCTCGCTCACCATTGCCACCCTCCTTTCCTCCACCTCCTGGTCCATCTATGGGTTTCGACTCAGAGACCCTTACATCACGGTAAGAAGATCCTGAACGGGACAACAAGTCTCCAAAGCAGAAACTAGTTCCTGTCTTTATAGCAGCTTTTCGGTTGCAGGTACCCAACCTCCCAGGAATCCTCACCAGCTTGATCCGCCTTGGGCTTTTCTGCAAGTACCCCCCAGAGCACGACAGAAAATACCACCGACTTCTGCAGACCTGACCACAGCCGCCTTAGGGCCAACGTGATACCAAAAAGAGCTCTTGTTTCTGCTGGTCCTCCTGACCAATTCCGTGGATGCAATGGGTTGTAAGAAAAAAGCTGATTTTGAAAATAGAGGGATCAAGGAAAGACCTTTACGTAGATCGGATGGGACCTATGGGATGAAATCACATTTTTTAAATAGATGATCTTTTCTCATTTTGGAGGCTGAGGTGGTATCTTTAGAATGTGCCCTAAAATAAACTGTTCCCTGCCCCTGCCTGCAGGCCTTGTGCATTCTTCCTGACCTGATAGGAGGTGGGTCTAGTGACTGGCATCGAGGATTGGCTCAGAAAAGGTATTCGACTGACCTAGAAGTCACAAAGACCTAGAAGACCTTTTAAAAAAAAAAAAAATTTTTTTTTTTTTTTTTTTTTTTTGGTTTTTCGAGACAGGGTTCCTCTGTGTAGCTTTGTGCCTTTCCTGGAGCCCAGGCTGGCCTCGAACTCACAGAGATCCGCCTGCCTCTGCCTCCCGAGTGCTGGGATTAAAGGCGTGTGCCACCAATGCCCGGCTAAAAAGAAAAAATCTTATTAAAAAAATAAAATGGAAGTTTGGTATACCTACTTCTTGCCCAGCCTTATGTGGGAAGCCTACAATCCCAGCATTTAAGAGTTTGAGGCAGAGCTAGGTGGTGGTGGTGACCGCCTTTAACCTCAACACTCAGGAGGCAGAGGCAGGCAGATCTCTGACTTTGAGGCTAGCCTGGTCTACAGACTGAGCTCCAGGACAGCCAGGGCTACACAGAGAAACTGTCTTGTAAAACAAAACAAAGAGGTTGAGGCAGGAGGACCACAAGGTTGAGGGAAGCCTGGGCAACGTGGCAAGTTGTAGGCCAAGTTGGACTACTCAGTAAAACCATCTAAACAAATAAACAAAACAGGTCGGGATGTAGCTCCGCTGAGGGCTCACATGTTTGAAGGCCGGCAGGTTCGATCCCCAGCACCTCAGAATCTCGCCACGGTGGTTTAGCGTGTTAATTAGAGGAGATGAGAGGTTGAGAACCAAGAGCATCCTCGGCCATATGCCTGGGTTCGAGGCCAGTCTGGGACACATGAGATCCTATTTCAAAAAAAAAAAAAAATCTGAGAAGACAGAACATCACCAAAATGCAAAGCCAAAAAATGGAAGTTAGGTGTACCGGGAAGATGGCTCTCCCGCCTCGCCCTTCTTGACGTCTGGTATACAGAATCCCCAGTACTTATCCTCCATACTCAAACTAAACAAGGCTAGAAAACAAAAACCGCACTTTAATGGGGAATGAGCCAGGGTGTCCGGACAGGAATGGGTGAAGGTGTCAGAAGCGTAGCCCCCTGCGGGTTAAGTCCGCTCGAGCCTCCAGGATCTGGCTCTGCAACTCTCGGGCGGCGTCCTCACAGTCGTGAAACGTGGCCACGCGGTAGCCCACAGTGCCCAGGGCATAGCAACCAGCGGACACCAGCAGGTAGGCAGGCAGTGGCCACAGCACCTCCTGGCAAGGGGAAGGCAGCTCCAGGCCCAGAGCTCCCATGGTCAGGGCAGCCCAGGCAGAGCCCAGGAGCGCCAGTCCCCAAAGCCACTGGGTTAACTTCGTCATGGTCGCTGCAAGGAGAGAAATCAAGGCTAGAGATGCTTTCCACCACTCCCCGCTCTGCATCTGACACTCACTCCCGGTCAGTGCCAACCTCTTTCACCTTTCCCCTCAGCCCGCCACCCAAGCGTACCTCTGGGCGTCGCGCTGACTTCAAGGTCCGCATCAGCGTCGGAAGTCCTCTTCTACGACCTCCCTTCCTCCACACTGCCTTCTGGGAACTGTAGTTCTCAGAACAAAGCCCGGGGGAACTTCCGGTCGCGCTCAGGTCCGGGAAGGTTAAGAGTTTTAACGCTGCTTGTTCTGGGGACCTAGGTCTAAACTGGATAGACTTGTGGAAAGTCTTGAGAAAACACCAAAACATTGCAGTAAGAGAGGAATGTCGTGTCGTCTGTGGTGATACATGGCTTGTACTCTTAATAAAATTTGCCTGAAGATCAGTGGACAGAACAAGCCACTCGTTGAAACATAGAGGCCAGGCAGTGGTGGTACACACCTTTAATCTCGGGTGGCAGAGGCAGAACCGTCTGGATCTCTGTGAGTTCAAGGCCACGCTGGGCTACACGAGATTAGTCTAAAAAAGAAACAGAGCCAGGCAGTGGTGGCACACACGTTTAATCCCAGCATTTGGGATCACACACCTTTAATCCCAGCACTAGGGAGGTTGAGACAGGAAGTGATATGACTGGGCAGAGAAAGGAATATAAGGCTGGAGGAGACAGGAGCTCTGGCTCTGTCAGGCTGAGGAGTCGGTGAGCTAAGAGGTGGTGGCTGTGGCTGCTCTGCTTCTCTGATCTTTCAGCTTTCACCCTGATATCTGGCTCCGGGTTTTTATTAGACCGATTAGGATTCGTGCAACAATGGTCCCCCTTAAACTCAGTTCTCCAGCGCAGATACCCCACTCATTCACTTACTCAAGCGTTATTCCAACACTCCCACCAAACACTGGAGATGCCGGTGCCGCCTCACACTGCTAGGCGAGTACTCTACCACTGAGCCTTTTTATTTTGAAACAGGGTTTTACTAAGTACTCAGGATGACCTTGAACTCCCATTTGAGACCCTGTCTGAGAAAGAGGCTGGTCATGGTCAGAATGGCACATACTTATGATTCCAGAGCAACTCCCCAAAAGAAGAAAGAGGAGCATTGCAGAATAAGATAAAGGGTTGGCTTTAGAATTCCAATTTAAATAAAACAAGAGGGTTTTTTGTTTGATTGTTTTAGTTTGTTTGGGTTTAAAGTCTGTATGTGTGCATATGTGTGTCTGTGTGAGCATATGCTCTGTACGTTCAGGTGCCTGCAGAGGCCAGAAGAGGACATCAGATCCCCTGAGCCGGAGTTACAGGCAGGTGTGAGCTGTGTGCCATCGGTGCTGGGAACCCAACTCAGGTCCTTTGGAAGAGCAGCAAGTGTACTTAACTACTGAGCCGTCTTTCCAGCCTGGGTTTTGTTTTGTTTTGCTTTGCTTTGAGACAGAGTCTAATGGACTCCAGGCTGGCCTAGAGCACGGTGTGTAGCTGAGAATGACTGTGAACTCCCGCTTCTGCTTTCCAAGTGCGAGGATCACAGGCACATGTCACCAAACCCAGCTGGAAGCAGTTCTGTTGGCTTCAAGGTCAGCAGAAGAGTAAATGAAGGAATCAAGAAGCCCTGACTAAGCCAGGAAAGATGGGACATACCTAAAATAGCAAGACTCAGGAGACAGGAGGATTACTCCAAGTTCAAGGCCAACGTGAGCGACATAAGGAAGATCCTGGTTTAAAAAAAAAAAAAAAGAAATCTGGTCTGAGTGGATTGAAGGTCCACTTAGAAACTCCAAAGTAAAGATAAGGGTAGACTGTAATGTTCAAAGATCCACTGTTCAAAGCTTTGTACCTGGATTTGGAAATCCAGACTACTTTGGTATGTCAAAAAGTAATCT